CGAGAACTGCCCAGTACGCCCATCAGAACTCCTGAGTACTCTCAAAATATTTTCGATGACCTTTCCCAAGTAGCGTATCTCGAAAACCGTTCACCCAATCGCTTAGTCACCTGATACTTTTCGTCAGAGCTCGTCGAGAACTGCCCAGTACGCCGATCAGAACTCCTGAGTACTCTCAAAATATTTTCGATGACCTTTCCCAAGTAGCGTATCTCGAAAACCGTTCACCCAATCGCTTAGTCACCTGATACTTTTCGTCAGAGCTCGTCGAGAACTGCCCAGTACGCCGATCAGAACTCCTGAGTACTCTCAAAAAATTTTCTAAGTCCGACGTCGAAAATTTTTTGAGAGTACTCAGTAGTTCTGATCGGCGTTCTGGGCAGTTCTCGACGAGCCCTGACGAAAAGTATTAGGTGAAAATTCGATTAGATGGCTACATAAGGAGATATGTGCTTTTGCAACCAATTTTTCAAATGTTTTAAGTACATATCTCTTTTATTTTTGGGTCTGTATTGATTTTAATCGCCTAGAACTCTTCGAAATAGACAGAATGACTATTAACATGTGACAGAATTATTGTATCTAAAAATTAATTTTTCAAAAATTTTTAACTTTTTTTTTATTTTTCAAAAATTTTTAACTTTTTTTTTATTTTTCAAAAATTTTTAACTTTTTTTTTATTTTTCAAAAATTTTTAACTTTTTTTTTATTTTTCAAAAATTTTTAACTTTTTTTTTATTTTTCAAAAATTTTTAACTTTTTTTTTATTTTTCAAAAATTTTTAACTTTTTTTTTATTTTTCAAAAATTTTTAACTTTTTTTTTATTTTTCAAAAATTTTTAACTTTTTTTTTATTTTTCAAAAATTTTTAACTTTTTTTTTATTTTTCAAAAATTTTTAACTTTTTTTTTATTTTTCAAAAATTTTTTTTATGTATCAGGAACTCTAGGTATTCACGAAATGAAGCTATTGGGCCGCTCAGAACTATTGGATCTCGATTTTCGATTAGAAGTTAGCACCCCATTTTTTAAAAATTGTTTAAAAATACTTATTAAGCGGAACTCTTGTTATAAATTATATAGAACTCTTTGTCTCGTCAAAAAGAAACGGGAACTCTATTCAGAACTCCTGAGTACTATAGTTGGGGTGCTAACTTCACATACCCGACGAAAAGCCTGTGTCTTTGATGTTCGAAATAACAGCATAACGTTTCTAAAAATACTCGACAAAATAATGAATTTTCTTTTACTAAATTATTTTTGTCTTACTGCATTCGTATTATTCATATTAAATATATACAGAGAAAATATTTACATGGTTTATTTTCTAATGCCATAACTTGATATAATTGCAATGGAAAAATAAAAGTGTTAATATTTTCGTTGCTAAATTTGTTTAAGTTGCATATATTATTTACCATTGTTGATTAACATGCTTGTTTAAGGAGATTGTTGAACTGACAGAACTATGAACTTCTTATTTTTTTGTTCGAGGAATACTCTATCTACTCGTACTTACACATTGAATGAAACTGGCGCGCGTCTAAAGAAAGAAAAGTACCATTAAATAGAAAGAATTCAAATAACAATATATTTAATTTAATGGAAATTAATTCATCTGAATTGCATTAATCGTATTTGAGAGTTTGAAGAATTACGTTTGAAACGTTAACTATTTATTTAATTCTTCAGAATACTACCTTATTTATTATTATATGTATTTTTCAAGGAACATAAATATTTATAAATACTTAAAATGTACTTTGTAAGATGTTCGTAATTTTTGCTTGCAACATTTGTGTTAATACTCATACTAATTCTCTACAACATTCTCGCTTTCTCATAAGATATTTCTATTAAGTTGCTAATTATTCCTAGGATAGACAACCTAAAATACACATTAGTTACCGAAGAGATAGTGTAGACGAAGAATTCTCGGGAAGAATAAAAGATTTTGAAGATAAACTGAAAGGGGCAACATCCTCCGAGAAGAAACCTAAAGATCTTTTACGTGCTATCGGTTTGTATATATTTTTCATTTATACATCCAATATCAATCAAGTTTTCGTTGTTATGTGTTAAGCGATGTCTACAATGAGATTTCAAGGCGTAAGTCTGGATCTACAGTAGGTGTTTTTTTAAGCCTTAACTCGTAAGAAATTGATCAATTACAATTGAATGTAAGAAGAATAATCGACTATGATGCATCCATTTCATATGGCTTAAGGCTTAAAAATCTATTGTAGATCCAGGCTAAAACTTAAACTTTAAGTCTTAAGCCGTAAGAAATTAATCAATCATAGTCAAATGTGAGGAGAATAATTGATTATGGTTGGTCAATTTCTTACAGCTTAATCTGTTAAAGCTTAAGTTTTACGCCTTAAATAAAAATGTTAATATTTTCGTTACTAAGGGTGCGTTCCGTTTCTCGCATGATGCGCATAATACATCGTTTATCCTTGTTGCTTACCAAATGTTAAACAAGGACAATGGATGCATCATGCGCGATACGGAACGCACCTTAAATTTGTTTGACGAATAAAAATATATATTATTTACTATTGTTGATTAATATGCTTGTTTAATCAGATTGTTCAATTGATAGAACTATGAACTTCTAACTTATTTTTTTGTTGAGGAATACTCCATTTAATATCATTGTAAACGCCGCTTTACAAATCGAGTAATAAAGTATATTTATACGTAGGTAAAATTGAGAAAACTGACTGGAACGTGAAAGAAATTGAAAAAAAAATCGAAGAGAACAAGATGGGTCGCAGCATTCGCCACGAACGTGTAGAAAAAGTGCCGAAATGGAGTCGCGAGCAGGTTGGCAAAAAAACACTCAATAGCACTGACATTCTCGCACTTTTTCAGATGTGTATATGTTTCATTCAGTTTTTAGCTCGGCAGATTAAGATGGAGAAGCGAGGCAACGATCAAAGGCACACCTACAGTAAGTACGCTGATATAGATAATACTCTGAGGAATATAGGCAAGAAGATTCAGGAAGGTAGCGCGCTCGGATACAATAAAGTTTCAGCTATGGCTGAACAATTTTCGAATAAAAATCAGGATGTGGAACCCAAGCTGCAGAAATCGGTAAATACAAACTTTAAAGTTTTCGTAGGAAAATAGTCAACGGAATATTAAAATTTTAACGTCCATAGCGTATTAGCGTTTTTATGTCTTACATCCCCGTTTTATAAAGAGAAGTTTATTTAATTAGGAGAGAAGATATAAATTACAGTAGGTTCGCATTCTTTAAGAAATTGACAATTTTACACAAAAGGTATTTTTATAAGATTTTGTTTAATCCTGGTACATGTATAACACGTATCAAAATATTCTAAAAATATGTCTGTACTATGTAGATATAATTCTTTTGATCTCTTGTTAAATTTTAATATGTTTATAATCTTATAGTCTGCAAAGTAAATGAAATTTTTCAGTAAACTAGGTTGTGATTATAAATACGTAAATTGTAATATAGGTAATTATATAGAATAGAGGACCCCCTCTTATTTAAAACAAAAATTGTGCTTTGAAAACAAAAATTTTCTTTGAAAACATTACTTTTTTATAATATTTGTTTTTAAAGCAGAAAATTTGTGATTTTATAACGACTTCAAGCAAAACGAAACGCCTCTCCGCCTAGGGACGTTCACACACAACTTTCCATGTGAAGAGAGGTCCACCCCACTTCTTCCACTACCTAGGGACGTACGACTTTTCAAGATTTTCAAAGTTTTTTACACTACAATAAAATATTTTTTTATTAAATATTTTTCGAGTTATAAAGCTTGAAAGTTACAATATCTACCACTAGCGTTAACATTACCCAAGGTATCCGACCTACGGCTGAAACCTCTTGAATGTTATTCATGATTATGACCCGGATAACGTTTATCAAAAGGCCATTGGAGATTGTTTCTCTTATTTTCATTTTTGTACTAAAAATTAATTTTTACTTAAAAATGAAAATAAGAAAAACAATCTCCATTGGCCTTGATCTTGACAAATGTTATCCAGGTCATAATATTCAAGAGGTTTTAGCCATTCAATAGATTTTAGTTGGTTGGACACCTTGGGTAATATTAATGCCGGTTGTATTGTAACTTTCAAGCCTTATAATTCAAAAAGTACTTAATAAAAGAATACTTTATTATAGTGTTTTGAAAAACTCTCAATATAAGCTACCAGAATATGTAATGAAAAATGGGGGGTTCCGTTTAAAAAATTCAAAGTGACCTGCTTGCTCTGATCTTGACAACGCCAACCAAAGTCAAACCAATGGTACCATCTTATGTCCCCCTCAAAGTCACAAAACTTTTATCTCGAGCATTTTTCCCTAAAATGCAGCGTTCAAGAGAATTTGAGGTGGTCAATTAAAATGGGACACTCGGTATATAAAATTAGGCACATACATTTTTAAATAATTTTTCATATTAAACAATGCAGAATTAATAATTGTTATATCAAATTGTATAACTTATTTTTGTTTAGAATACTAAACCTACTATCGCATTACCAGTGCAAGGGAGTTCAGAGATGTGCCATTTTTGCAATAAAAGAGTTTACCTTATGGAAAGACTAAGTGCGGAAGGCAAATTCTTTCACCGCGGTTGTTTTCGTTGTGAATATTGTTCTATCTCTTTAAGAATAGGTAATATTCTATTCTCTCTTTATAATATTTTATAAACCTTTTCTGATTTTATATAATTACTGTTATATACGAAATTATTACTATTATATAGGAAATCATACATTTGATCGAGAAAAAAACGGAGGACGCTTTTACTGTACGCAACACTTTGGATTATCGGGAACAATGAAATCTAGAGCAGAAAAAAAAAGGATTAACTTGGTGAATAAAGAAAATGTACTTAATGCTGCGACTGCATCAAAAACACCAGAAAAGGTATTAAAAAGCTTGTAATAATGATATAGAAATAAAACATAAAAATAAGAAACAGTTATTAAAATAATATTTATATATCTTTTTATACAATGTTTAAAACATTAAAAAATAATAAGCAATTATTTGAAATTATATATATATCGTGCTCTCAGGCCAAAACGTCCTTAGAAGGCATTGTTGGACTAGATTTACTTGATCGTGGTCAAACTCCAGAAAGAATTGAATTTGAAAATCTAGCAGAAATATCAGATCCCGAAGAAGGTCACAGTCAAATGGATGAAGATGAATGGACAGACAGAAATTTTGGTGCTTCTACTGCAGAAATGGGATCCAGTGATGATATTTCTGATATGAGGTAAACATGCATATATTATTTATATAATATTATTTATATAATATTTATATAATATTTTATTATAATAATTGTTCAAATTATCAATTTTTTGTAGTGATTCTGATGAGGATAATGAAGTATTTGAGGAAGCTATAGATCAACCACTAACGACTGAAGGAACTCTCGAATTAGCTAAAAATTGGACATTGCGTTATTCGCATCCACATGCTACAATCGGGCAATCTGACACTGGGAGCAACGAATATGAAGATTCTAGTGATGAATATACTAGTGAAGGTAACATTTATCATACATATATAAAAGTATATGTACTTACGCACAAAACATGTTAAAATTATACAACGTCAATATTTTTTGTTCTTTCATTTTACATAGCACGGTTTTCGTTATGAAAACATTCTATGTATCGATTTGAATTATAAAAAACAAAAAGAACAGAAGGAAAAAAAAGAACAGAATGTGTGATAATTTTAACAAATTCTCCAATTTATGTTTATATTGTAATATATATTTTGATTTCTTTATTAGACGATGAAAGCGACACTGCGACCGAAGACGAGGAAGACGTACGCGCGCGAGAGCTCCGAAAGCAGGAAGTATGGTTGAAGGTGCCACCGCGCAATTGTGATACCGATACCGGTTCGGAAACAGAGGTGAAGCAATCTCAAGGCTCTATAGATCCCGTTATAGTTAAAGAGTCATTCATTTCTTTCGAATCCAAAGTAACATCGCCCTCAATTTCCAACATGAATACAAATGATAATGATCTATCATCCGAGAGAAATACTTTCGGAGAACTGTTAAAATTCTCCAATGAGACAGCATTAATTTCTAATGAATTAGCTAAAAGTATGCACGATCAAGACAGTATGATTTCCACTCATAAAAATGGTGCATCTCTCAATGTTATTTCACAACTTTCTGAAAATGTAATTTGCGTAACTGATTCAATGTCTCTTCCAATGCCAAATAACACTAACGATGATATTTCGGATCAAAATGAATCCTTGATATTTTTGACAAGTATTGCTCTTAATCACTTAGACAAAGAAGATTGCAATTCTGAGTACGAAAGTTTTGTGGACGAAAATATTCGATTAGAATTAGACGAATCAGATGATAAAATTTACGACGATTGTTCACAAAGTAATATCCTCGATGTTAACATAAGAAGTCTTACACCAAATTCTATTAATTTCAATGCAAATGTTAATGATCGGAGTAGAAATAATCTAGTTAAGAATTCATTAAATTTATTTACAAATAATTTGAAAGGAGATTCCGTGTTAAATAGTTTGGCAGTTGGTTTAGAAACAGTTGCGAAAATTACAGTTGCAGATATTATACCTTGCGTTGAAACAAGCAAGGATTTCAGGGTTTCCGATAACGAAACTATCCTTAATGCTGATGAATTGCCGGGTGTGATCACTTCTTTGAATGAAAGCAAAAATTCTTTATCTTCTTCATCGTCAGAGATTTATCAATCGGTAGAGATGTTGCATAGTGACGATTCAATTATTAGCGATCACTTGGACGATTTAGTAGAATACTCGAAATCTAATTTGCTTGAAGAAACAGAAATATTTAAGTGTGAAAATATTAATGTTACTAATCAAAGCAAGGACAGCTATTTTATTAACAAAGATAGGAATGTTGAGTTTATTGATGATATTAATAATATTCATATGAGCAATATTATTGACAAGAATGTTGCCATACATTCAACAACTTCGATACCTCCTGCGAGCGTATTACAAGAGTCGATACACCCAATAGTAATAGTGACATCGCCATCTCCGACACAAGAGATACAGCTTGACGAATTATCTTTAGAAACTTCGAGATTACTGGTTCCCCTAGAATCGCGTAGTGTTCCGAGTTTTGGTAACTGTAATAACGCATTTGATAAGCTGAAGCGCGATTTAAAGCAAAGAAAAGCAAAGAATAAAACTATAGGAAATGGACTTCGACCACTGTCAACTGAATATGCCCAGTTGAAGATGAGTAAATATTTTACGGAGAATAAAAAAATTGTTTCGAAAAGTCAAGTTCCTACACAAAGTGAGGAAGTTGAAAATACATCTAATCTGAAAGTGGTAAAGTTACATATTAAGCCTAAATTATCCAATAGAATAAATGCAGAGGAAATGCTAAAATACTTTAATAAGACCAGTTCTTCAAATAATAACAAATCTAAAATTTCCAACATAATTGCTATTAAACAAAATGAAAGACGAAAGTTAGAAATTGATATCGAAGAAATAAGCAACTTGGACGAGAATGACATTGATGTGATTGATCAACAATTTAATCAAATCGAAGAGCAAAATAAAATTGCAAATTTGGAAGGTGATGAGATGAGGTCTCAGTTTTATTTGTCAGAATTTGAAGCAGTGCGTAATGATGAAAAGGAAACCGCATGCGATAGTTTAACAAGAAATGGTCTTATTGAATTAAATTCTCAATTAAATATTGACAATGATCATATTGATCCACTAACATCGAACTATAATATTCTTACATTAGAGAACAAAAATATTTCAGATACAGATGCAGATACAGATATGAATATAAATACTAACAATTTCAAATTTCCTACTGCTGTGATTTCCAACATATTGACGTTGCAAACAGATGTAAAAAATACAGATGATAGAAAAGAACAAAAAAGGATTAATCCAACAGACAACGGTCTGAATAGTGACATAAATGGAACAAATCAAGAAAAGAACGATAATATAAATTTAAACAACAACATGATAAACGATATAATCAAAGATGACAATATAATTAAAACAGATATACAAACCAATATTTCAAATAATACAAAAAATGAAGAAAAAAAAGCGAATACGATTAATTTAGATGGAACTATACTAACAATAAGTAATAATAGTGATGAAAAACAACCTAACAAAATACATATTTCAAGTGATAACCTGGATAAAGATAATAAATCAAAGAAAAATTTGTTATTCGGAAATAATATACTTCTCAATAGAAAATTAACTGCTTCTTCACGGTTAAATAATAATACAGATAAAGTTATCAAATACAATAGGTTGCATAAAAGCGATACTAATTTGAATGAAGATACACCGCGGGTTTTTTCTAAAAGTATTAACAGTTATTCTAAATCATTATCTGAATTAAAAAACACGACAACTAAAGATGAACCCGCAGTAAAGACAATAATCATCGAGAGAATAGTAAGTACATCTATGAATATTAAAGATACAATTATAAATAATAATTTAGCAGAAAATCGTGTTAAAAAAGTTCCTAAAAGGCCCGAGCAAAAAAATGTTTCTTATGACATAATTAGTCCTTTTCAAAAGACTTTAATAGAGAATCCTAATTTGAAAATTTCTAACACTGAACTCTCTCCGCCTGAAATTTCAGTAAGAAAATTAGCAAAAAAAAACTTAAAACTTTTATGTCGAAATCAAGCTATTGAAGATATGCCAAAACTACAAAGTCAAACTGTCGAGAATATTTCAAGATTATATGGTCAGAATAGCAATAATGTTTCTAGCATTCAAAGTCAAGATGTGGAAAAGTTTTCAAAAGTTAAGAGTCGAGACATTAAGGATGTTTCAGAAGTAATAAGTCGAGATGTTAATGATGTCTCGAAAATTCATTGTCAAGATATTCAAAATCCTGATACTAATTCAATAGATGTTCAAAGACCAATAATACGAAATGTCGCAAAATTACAAAGTCGGGACATTACGAATCTTCCGAATTTCAACAACGAAATTATGAAAGATGTTAAAAATATTATGATAGCAGAAAATCATAATGTTGCCGATATGTCAAAATTACAAAGTCAAAGCAGAAGTGTAACGTCGGCTCAAGAAGTTTATCATACAAATTCGCATTTGTCAAATAAACCTGAGGAATCTATCAAATTTATTCCTAGAAATGGTCAATCAAAGAAAGACAAATGCGTAATTTCATAATGTTAATATAATAATATCTGTGCTATTATTATTAAATTATTTTGTAATATAGTGCTTTATAAGAAATGCTTTCACTTATATATACGTTTTATTATAATTATCTAACTAATACAACTGTTTAGTATTTTTGAATATTAAAAGTTTATGAAAGTTCCCACGCTACATAAATAATTTTCAAATTATAAATAATTAAAAACGAATAATTTCTCGCAAATTAAGTTTCAAGAATACGATTAAATATTAAACTCTTACTCCTCTGTCAAATCAAAGCTTTATTTATAAAACTTGAGGTCTCTCTAGTTTTATCAAAACATTTAATATTAACGATTCTAAGAAATGCGAAGAATTGCGAAAAATATAACATACAATTGAATTTTTGTTGGAAAACTATTTTAGACTGGTCAAATCTATTTAAGTGATCCAATGTTATTATATTTTATTATTCTGCATATTTACTGCAAATTTATTAAATATTGATAGATTATATACATATTTTACTTCTATATACTTATATATTAAACCAATCCGTATTTTACCAATACTTCAATTAATATAATAAGGTTAATTCGAACAAATTAATAAATAAACAAGAAAGGGCGAGCCAAGCTGGATGTTAATGCTATACAGGGTGTATATTAAATCTCATATAAAAACAAACGTTTTAAACCTCTATCAGGTCATACTCAATGTTTAAAATTTGCCTAAAACGTTAAAACTACGAAAAATAATTTTGATAGAAACAATAAAATAATATAATTATCCCTAATTCCTGTTTTACGTGTTTTACATATTTCGATATAAATAATAAAATAATATAATATAATTTCTGTTTTCGACTATAATAAAGAAGAATTAAGATCTTAACGAGACGAGAAAATTTGTATATTAATATTGTTTCTTTGCATGATTCTAATGATTTAACAAATAATTATTTTATTATATCTTATATTAAAGATGTTTCCGAAAAATTTAAATCGATTGCAAAAAGGAATAACTTTACAGTTGCCTTTAAACCTATAAATGCTTTAAATTCTATTATAAAAACAGGTAAAGATAAATTAAAAACTATGGAACAGAATAGTGTCATTTATAAGATTGATTGTCTCGATTGTAACGCTTCTTATGTAAGTCAAACAAAAAGGAAGATTGGAATTAGAATTGCTGAATACAAATCTAGCTCTTCAAAATCTAGCAACGCACACACTATAGTTGCACAGCATCAAGTCCAGTTATATCACAGCTTTGACTGGGAAAATGTTTAAATTCTTGACATCGAACCTTCTTTGCACAAGAGACTTACATCTGAAATGATATTCATAAAAAAACAAATAAACGGAATTAACAAACAGACTGATACGGAGAAATTTCCAGAAATATATTTACCTCTATTAAATACTTCATCTATATCATGATATTAAAATTACCATTAGCGCCACATAATTTGGTATAAATATGTTGACTCAGTAATGGAACTCTGCATTTTAGTTTTGACTCATAATTTTAATACATCTATTTTTCCAATTCCTGTATTTGCTGGTTGATATATTGTTAACACAGGTAATATATTAGAATTTACAGTTTTATATAAATAATTTTCTTTTTTTGACGCTTATTATCTATAAATATAACAGAATCGGGAAATCTTGTGTTCAATATTATACATCGCGGAATTTTATCACGAACCTTGATGAATTTCCTTTCTCTTCTTGAATACTTCTCAGGGTGAACGAGGAATAATTTTTGCCGAAGAATTACTCTTTTTGTATAGAGAAGGAACCGATTAGTTCACGAATAAAATTATTGTTGTCGACTAAATAATTATAAAGAATTGTATTAATCTGCGACTTTCTAATTGCTATTAATTGAATTTACTTTGTATGCTAAACACGTACTTATCTTTAACTGAAGATGGTCTAATTTAAAACCGAAACGTCTGAATTTTTGTAACTTCTTGATAATAATATAATATATTATAGGACCGTACGTGATAATACAAACTATAGAAATCAAAGCCTTACACGGTCTAGCTGGATCTTAATGCTTGTATGATTCTTATGTGAATTTATATACTACGTATGTAGTCCCACAGAAACGCGCGCCGAAAAATTTCCGGTCTTGAAACGCTAACTCTACTAAACTACCGCAGTAATATCACGAGTTAAATTGACTAGCAATTTAACAAATTTTTGATGTTTATTCGCATCTTCGAAAATATCTTAATAATGATGAATAACATATTAAAATCTGTAAATAATTAATTCACATAAGAATCATACAAGCATTAAGATCCAGCTAGTTCGTGTAAGGCTTTGATTTTTATAGTTTGTGTTATCACATGTACGGTCCTATAATATATTATATTATTTATTTATGTCGCCTAAAGAGACGTTGTTCCTTCATATGCCAATTATTGCGAAAAATATTACTAAGGCCTCGGTAGTTTAAAGGCTTAGGACGCTCGCACGGTATGCAAGAGATCCGGGTTCGACTCCCGGCCGAGGTAATATTTTTCGCAATAAGAATTAATTATTTACAGATTTTAATATGTTATTCATCATTATTAAGATCGTTTCGAAGATGCGAATAAGCATCAAAAATTTGTTAAATTGCTAGTCAATTTAACTCGTGATATTACTGCGGTAGTTTAGTAGAGTTAGCGTTTCTATGGGATTACATACGTAGTATATAAATTCACATAAGAATCATACAAGCATTAAGATCCAGCTAGACCGTGTAAGGCTTTGATTTCTATAGTTCTTGATAATATATAATTTTTGCTGCCGACAACTAGCGTGAATGGTTTATTGCCTCTTATTTTTATATTAATTGAATGATTGGCCGTCCATCCGTTCCATCAAAAAAGAAGAACTGCGAGCGATATGTAAAACGCGTAAGAATTAGGGATTATTATATTATATTATTTTATTGTTTATATCGAAATATGTAAAACACATAAAACAGGAATTAGGGATAATTATATTATTTTATTGTTTATACACCAAAATTATTTTTAGTAGTTTTAGGCGAATTTTAAACATTGAGAGTGACCCGATAAAGGTTGAAACGTTTGTTTTTATATGTAGTATATGAGATTTAATATATAGCATTAACATCTAGCTTGGCTCATGGCTCTTTCTTATTTATTTATTAATCCGTATTTTTTTTTTTTTTTTTTTTTTTTTTTTTTTTTTTTTTTTTTTAAAAAAATTTTTTTTTTTTTTTTTTTTTTTTTTTTTTTTTTTTTTTAAGTTGAAGTTAGGAATATAACTGAGATTTGCGATTTTACAATTTAGGTACAGAGATTTCTGAATTGATACATTATATAATTCATAATTTCTTTCTTAAACATCTTTAGTAGATATCGTAGTTGTGTAATTTTAAATTAGAGAAAATTGTGAGATGTATTAATAAAGTAAAAAAAATACAAGCAAAATTCTTGGCTGATGGTGATTGATTTTTAAATTTTCAATGGGGCTAATTTTTAATCGACCAATTATATAAGGAGCATTGAAAAAAAGGTAATCCATCTTGTTGTGTATGAATGGTGTGTTATTGAACTAATTTATTATTAACATTGACTCAAATCATTAATCGTTGATGTTTGCTTATTCTAAAAAAAGTAGGAGTTTGCTCACCAATATTGACTAATTCATTTAGAAATTACCACCAGCCAGTAGTACTTTATTAAATGTCTCACCATGTTTTTGTTTTAATTATAAAATATGTGATAAAATATTGGTTTATACATACATATAAACACTATTTACAGAAATAACACATGTCAGAATATATCCACTCGTAATCAGAATATTAGCATCTGTGTCTTTCTTTATTCAACACTTACTAATTTATTAAACTCTTGCTTATTATTCTAGTTATATATTTGTTATAATTCTCATTCATTTAGCACACTTTGATCTATAGGTTGTATCTTCGGAAGATGCATCGACTGATGAGAGTGTGGAAAATTCCGCAACTGAGATTTCGACCGACTCTGAATTCGAGCACGATGAAGCGACTCCTACACAGCATGAGATTCCCGAAATTACCATCAACGATTCTTATGTGCGAAAAACGAGAGGCGCTTATGTTGAACCGAAGAAGGTGCAGGTGAAAAGTAAGATGATCTCTTCGATTAATGGCAACTTGACACAGGACAAGAAACAGCAAGACACTAGGGAGCGATTTTTGGAAGACCATATTAAGATGGAGTTGAATAAAGAAGTAAATTGTAACGTGCCAGCTTCTGTTGATACAAATAACTGCATACCGTTGTTAAATCCACGAAAGGGAGATTATCTTTTGAATCGTACTCATTCCACTGGCGGAATCGCTTCGAGGCTCTCTTTGGAATTGAAAAAACGTTATTTATTGGGAGGATCAGCGTTAGGTGGTTCCATCATAAAATCAGGTTCGACATCTAATGTAGACACGAAGTTGAGAAATTTTACTGATGCAATCTCCCAGCATCAGAAGTTGTTAAATCCAGCGCCAGAGCCTAGTCCTACCATGCAGGCATTTCTTCAAGGTACCTTTATTTTTACACTTTCATGTTTTTAATAGTATTTCAATATATTAATTTCTATATTATTTTGTAACATTTCTAATACCCAAAACTTTTCAATAACACAGGCCTGCAGCCGAGTTACACATTTCAACCAATTTTGTCTATCGTCATCCCCACTCCTTTTGTTTCATAGCGTTTAGACCGTGCGCGGAGACATAAAACGCTCAAACTCAAGGATGATATTAACCGTAACTTATACATGGCACTATAGGTCTATAGGACTTTGAAACATATTGCCTCACATTCACTGTTTACAAATTTTTATTATTATAATTATAATTATTATTTTGTTAGAAACTCAATTTATTTATTAAAAATAATTTTTTTGATATTTATTTTAGTATGCAAACTTAATTAACACACGTGTTCCATATTGAAGTGTTACTTTTGAATTTCTAACATAATAATAATAATAATAATAAAAAATTGTAAACAGTGAATGTAAGGTAATATGTTTCAAAGTCCTATAGCCCTATAATGCCCTGTATGAGTTACGGCTAATATCATCCCCGAGTTTAAACGTTTTATTCAAACGTCTCCGCACACGGTCTAAAATGTCTAAATGCTATATAACATAACAATATTTATGATATATTGAAAAAAGAGAAAAAAAAATTGTAAAATGATATATTCTTGAAAAGCATTTTTTATGTGTACGATTGTATTTTTTTAAGGTACTAGTAAACTGCGAATCAACAATGCACCGCTTTCTCCATTATCGCCTACAATTTTATTTTCTCGACAATTATCATCTGATCATTGCCGAAATTCATCGAATAATATCGCGAAACCGACAACCTTGATAGAAACATCCAAGACGCAGCAATTACCTGATTTAGTAAAAGAATCCAGTATCTTGAAATCGAAAACAGCACCCAACATCTGCAGTGAATCATCGATGAAAGACAGGGAGTTAATCAACGAACAAGTATTTCTACAGCAAACTAATAACTTGACGAAAAACGCTGTAGAGGATATAAAAAGCTCGCAAAATGCTGAGAAAATTCTATCAAACAACATGGAAGAAAGTAATGGTTTTAGACCGCGTAGTCCCCTTCACGAAACATCTATTGTCGTGCCGCAAGTAGATTGGAGCAAGAAGAACGAAGACAAGGATGCCAGTTCGGGCGATTCTGAGATAGATAGTGATTCATTATCTTCCTTTAATTCTAACGGAGCAATTGAGAACGAACAACTTGTTGCTGTAAATCTTTCGCCACCTAGATTACAGATTCACAGCACCGATGGCGATCTTTTATTGGATGAAGGAATTGATCGATACGAACATTATAATCCTGACGATGGCCAGACTTTCGAACCAGATTCTATCGAAGTCTCCTTTCTGCAGGATCGCCGATTACATGATTCAATTAACAATACACATACTATTGAAATTGTAAATAATAATATGGAACAATTAGACTTGCGGGATGACAGCAGGAGTAACTGCAGTAGTTCTACTTCCGAAGCTTCGGCAATGTCTAATAAACAAGACGATTCCGAGGAAAACGACATTACCACCGCAGCATTCACTGAAACAGAATTTTCCGAATGGGCTCGCGACGGGGAAGCTTTGGTTTCTGAAGACCTTCGTGATGTAGAACTTGATATCGATCCTGGTTTTATCACTGTACGAAGAAATAATACAAAACTATCCTCTACACTTGCTAGAATTGTTAAAGAAGAGGATACGGAACTCGACTATTCTATGATCGATCGAGTAGTCGATCAACAGGAATACCCGAACAATAATACGTCAAAACTGTTAGTCAATGGCGAAGACATTAATTACATGGACACGGACAATGAGTCACTGCTGGATGACAGTCTCCAAGATGCCTCGAATGTCGCGATGCTGAAAAATCGAGGCTACATCGAATTCGTAAATGTCAAGACAACTCTTTCCAATATTCCTGTTTCAACTAACATGCGTAATCTACCAGTCGCTGATGCACCGATAGCGAGACTCGATCTGGAAAATGACTCGTACGATGAAGACGAAGAAGAAGGCTTCAAGGACGCTAATGTGATTGAGATTGATCCAATTACTATGGAGGATGTGATGGGCAAATTAAACGAGCCTATTATGAATAAATCATCAATAAAGCCGGAAATTCGAACTGAGGAACAAGGTGAAGATGAATTTAAGGAGAACGTAAAGCGGGAACAATTAGCAGAAGCTTTTAATAAAGAATTACTTCAATCGATAGAGGAAGATAGTCTGTTACTTGTTGAACCAGCGGAAGATACGACTACTAGCGAAGTCGTTACAGTGCTTGCCAGTCCGATTAACCCTCAGGTGTCTATAGTTCCTGTAAAAATGACAGAGAAACACGAGGAATTAGCCAAGGTGGATTCCAACAATCCAGACTATCTAGAATACGTAAAGAGATTGCAATCTCGAATCGCAGAGTTTAGCAACGCCAAGGATTCCATTGACGTAAGAAAATCAAGACGAAAAAACTCGAAAAGCTTAGCGCAGACACGCACCGCAGAAATGATCACTGAAGAGATTAAGTGTCAAGAAACAATGAGTGTAAACGATAACAGTAATGGTATCAATTCACCAGCGACCTCGAGGAAACTTGAAGAAATTACAAGAGAACGGTCAAAGCAAAAGGATCTTATTCAAAATCTTCTAATGGATAAACTTGAGGCTCACAAACAAAAGTCAGCCGAAAAAAAGGCCCGAAGAGCTGCCAGAGCTTCATCTTTTACCACCGGGCTATCACCGATAAAACCGTCATTATCTAATATTTCTTCCGTTGGTAACAAGTTTGTGCCTACTTTTATAATGTCACCAATAAACAGTCCTACTCACACAATTTTCGGGGAAGCGAATAAGTCGTCGAATCTTTCGATGGCTTTGTACTCTTGTGAACAGACCGATCAAGAAGAAACCAAAGAAAAAATCCCAAAGAAGGCAGACGAAAAGTCGATTACTACTAGTCTAGAGGATGCTTTTAAAACGCCACTTGTACCACCAAGATTGAAAAACGAGGAAGCGAGGAGGACCACCGAAAAGGCCAGACAGGATGCTCGAGAACGAGCTAGAATGAAAAGCGATGAAGACTTGGGTTTAAGTCCTGAAGAGAAAATTAAAGAATTAAGAATGAAGGTGACGCGGAGGCAACTCTCTATGGACGATACGAAAAAGGGCGATACGCCGAAGACTGAGAGAATTAAATCGTATAACTTTAGCGCAATACATAATTCAGAGCTGAAATTACAAATCAGCAAAAGTACCGATAATATGAAAAACGTCGCAAAAAAAATTAATTTCCAAAAACTGCCAGCGACTAGCGCGAAATCGATGGACGAGATGCTAAATACTGCAGGTTTCTCACTTTCGGATAATAATAGCATGATAATCAAACGGGACAAAAAACCGAAGGATTCGGAGAGAAGAAAAAGTATTATACAGGCAGTGTCAGATTTCTTCTTCAAAAAGGAAACAAATCCATCGCCCAATCAGAAGGACAAGTTATCGGTATTCCGACTGACTTCAAGAGGGTCAAAAGGAAAAGTTAGTATTATCACTATTATTATTATCATTAATATTATTATTAACATATGAAATGTTCTGAGAAAGAAAACTATAATATATTGTTTCTGTATGTAAAACGCAGATTGATAAAACTATTCCATCGAAATGCGACATGAGACCTAAAAGTGTATGCGAAGATATGCTCGTAGGAAATTTCTTCACTGAAAAGCCACCACCTGTGCCGCCACCACCGCTTAATTATTCTACGTATACCACTCGAGTGTCAGCGGGTACGACTTATACAAATATTCTTATCATTTTACGAGAATATGTTGTAACGTTATTTAAATTACAGAGTATGCATCTGTGTCACATGCACATTGTACTTTTTGTGATAATAAATACATAAATTATTTGATTTCATTATCATAAAATAACAGTTCTATTTTGTGAGTTATTATATATTGTACGCTATTTTAAAATAACTCTTATGTTACAAAACAGAAAGTAATGTATTTGGACTAATCCCTTTTATATTTGTATTTTTCTTGTTAATTATCTCGTTAATGATACAAGGATACAAAATAATATTGTATTATGATAATTTTATACCTTTATGTTTTAGATGACAGTTTATCAGATGACGATACTAAAACAACTGCTTTATCAGCGTCATGCACGCAAAAAGTTACGGCAACTGAAGAATCGTGCAATAGCGTTTCTCGTAAATTGAAGACTACTAAAAAAATAACTAGACAAGCACAATTAAAGAGGTAAGGCGTAATATACTTGTATTATATTTAAATAAAGAGAACAACATGCCAAAACAAATTTGAGCATACTTATATATGCTTGTAGTGCAATTTTAATTTGAAAATTCTGCTAAATTAAATACATTTTCAAGATTACGAATGGCCCAAGAAATACAAAGAAAACTGGAAGAAACTGAAGTAAAACAAAAAGAATTAGAAAGCCGGGGCGTAAGTGTCGAAAAAGCGCTGCGTGGTGAAGGAGGTAATACAATATTATTTACATATGTATAGATTCCTTTCAAGTTTTTAATATTTAAGGCCCCTGACTAGTCGCGGCGGTCATGTTGGAATTGTGACGTCAGAAGCAAGGAATGACACGTAAATTTACGCACAATGTCATTTGTAAACAAAGACAATTTGGACGAAACGAAATGATGGGATCGCTTTAAAACACTTGTAAAAATCGATGACAACTGTCCTTTCCTCCCTTGATAGTCAGTAAATGGTCGTAAAAGACTCGTAAAGTGAGCCTATATTCTGGCAGAAACACGCGGTTTCACAACTGTTGAAACGAGTTAAATATACACTTTTACGTATAAAATTCCAAGATAACTTTAGTTGTCATCGAAAATTACGATTTTGAGAAGTACGAAATAAGTCACATTATCATAATTAAGCAAATAATAACGAAATCGCGTTGTACACAAATTTCGTTGTCAAAACTTTTCCACGCCTATAAGTTCGGCCATTTATCGTGGTGTGGCGCTGTAACACACATGCAAGTAGAGACCCTTTACTAGAGACTGATCATTTCGGGACTTTTGCTGATTGGTGCACGTGACTTCAGCACACTAATGGCGGCGCC